AGGCAACAGCCCCTGCCCATACTGTAGGTGGTGCAGCGGCTAATCTAGGCATTTGCTACATGTGTCACCAGCCCCGCCACCTGGCTCGGGACTGCCCCAAACGACCAGCACAAGTCCGGGTAGGTGCTGCCCCTATGGCAGCAACACCAATAGCCAACGGGCCAGGAAGAGTAGGCACGATGATCGAGGAAACGGAAGGAGGGGGAAACATGATGGTTACCACTGAGAAGCGGCGGAACTCATCCCGCTCGATCAGTACATCTCGTTGGGTTACCCAAGAATGAGAATGATTGGAACCATCCAACCAGCGAGCGAACGACGAGAAGTTGTGGAATGAAGACCGTCCCCCGAAGAAATGAAATTTGGTGGCCCGACGTCCGTTACAGAACTTACAGGAGAAATCTATGTCCCGAACATCGTCCGAACTCTGGATCATCGGATCCCCTTGCCCATCAGACATCAACCGTCCATATCAGAACAGACAAATGAGCGACTGCTGGAGCATTGCAAGGCCAACCGGAAACGGTTTGCCCTGACAAGGCAGGCAACCATCAAAGGAAAAGCCCCCGCCTGCGAAGACAAACCCGATGTTCCTAGCACCTCGGACCCGATATGATTAGGACTCATTCAGAAAGATGATCATTTCCTTCGCATTAAGGCCATTCCGTGGAAATCCGCGGAATGTGACATAGAAGTTTGGGGAAATCCGGACAACGCTATCGTCGATTCAGGAGCCGCGGTCCTAGCCATTTCCTTGAGGGTTGTAGAAAGAGCAAGAAGAAGAAAGGATCATATCCCGTTAGCGGAAGGAGACCATATTGTCTCCGCAGACGAGGAAAAAATCAAGGTAGCAGGAAGGATGACGAACGTTGCGTCTTGATTAAAAAAAGGTTAACTGACCCCCCATTTTTCACCTCAATTTATAAGAAAACCATATGGCCATCCCAAGCAAACTTCACACCAATCTATAGAGTGCACTTCTTACTAACATATTATAAAAAAAAATACAAAAAAATAAAAATAAAAACACATAAAACAGCAACTCAAAAGTGCATTTTCAAGCAATTTTGCCAAAAAACAACTTTATCAAAATTTCAGGATTTTCAGGATGATTAACAGCACAAATTCTAATAACCCAGATGACACCAAATTTGACACACAGCAAGCTTGTCCTAAAACAAAAATAGGCAAAAACAAAATTTCCAAAAAAACACAAAATTTGACCCCGAAACCCTAATTTCAGGATCATTCATCGTTACCTAGGGCCGAAAAGTGGGGGTCCCCGTTAACCACTTGTGTCTTGATTGGGAAAAGTTCACGCGTTTGGAGATATCGTGGTATTAGACGTAAATACGTACGATGTTCTTGTGGGATTACCGGCCCTTACCACACTGAGAGCCAACCTCGACTTCGAAAGACAAGCAATCATCCTTCGGAATACGGGTGGGAAGTCGTATGTTATCCCGATAGGTCTAACTCCCCGGACTGTACTCCCTACGACCTGGAAGACTCCCCCCGGTAGTGAAGAACCACTCCACGTAATCACTTAGAGGGAACCCCTCGAGGAAATGGATGAAAGGGAAAAAGAACCGGAGCTGTCAAGTAACTCCTCTGAAGGCGAGAATGAAAGGGACCCCGAGATTTGGGGTATGGTGCACCAACGGGTTCATTACCCTGTGCGACAGAAAACATCGAAAACATTCGTCCTTACGGAATGAATCCTCCAGCGGACGCGAGCCTTAGTTCTAGGGGAGCCGCTCGTCCAAGTGTCCCGAATGGCTGATTCTTCAGAACCCCTCCGAACCCTGTACGAGGCCACCACCCCGCTTCTCTCGAGATACAGCGACAAGAAAGCGTTCTGCGACATTTCGGGACTGCCCTGTTCTCTGCTTTGTGCAGGGAAAGAGGTCCGATTGCTGCGACAGGGTGCCGAGGACGGAACTTTGGAACCCCGTGGGCGTGGCAACCCATACAAACTCAGGATCAGGATCGTGGAAAAATTAGTTCGTTTGCAAGATATCGACGACGGGGTAACACCAGAAGAGCACGTGGCAATCCGGGAAATAGACGCCCAGATGGTCACCACGGTGTTCTCCTAGCGATCCGACAATTCGTTCGTCTCCGCCCCTCCGCCAGGGAACGGTGGTAAAATGGGTACGAAACAGTTTACGGTTAACATACACATACAACTCTATGAGCTACATGTGCCCCAGTACGTGCCCGACGAAACCCATCGACTCATCGCAAATATCCTAACCGAATATCGACGAGCGATTAGCGTCGAAGACATGGATATCGGGTTGTCGTTAGTTATTCAGCATGAAATCCAAACCGGAACGCACCCCCTAATCCATTGAAAGCCATACCGGTACTCCCTCACCGAACGTAAGACAGCGTTGGAGTGAATCAAGGAATTCGAAGTTAACGGTTGGATTGAGCCCGTTACTAGACCCTGGTAATTCCCCGTGGTCCCAGTCCCAAAGAAGAACGAGTCGATTCGCATATGCATCGATTATAGGAAGTTGGATGATATCACGATCAAGGATGTGTACCCTCTCCCTAGGATTGATGATTTGTTGGATGCGATTGGGTGTGCTAGATATTTTAGTAAGTTTGATATCCGCCATGGGTTCCATCATATCCTGGTTAAGGAGGAGGATCGGTCGAAAACAACGTTCGTATTGTTCGAAGGCACTTGACAGTGGGTTCGTTGCCCTATGGGAATATGCAATGCACCATCTACCTTTCAGCGTACTACCGCAAGTTTATCAAGGGGTTTGCGGCGATCGCTCGGCCCCTGACAAACCTCCTACGGAAAGATCAACCACTCAAGTGGGATGCGGAGTGCGAGCAGATCTTTGTCACTTTGAAGGAGGCCCTCGCCTCCGCATCTATTTTGATTCTGCCCGATCCTGGGAAACAGTCCATTCTCATTACAGACTGGCAACCTGAGGCGATTTTCGCTATTTTGGCCCAGAAGGGGAAGGACGGCTGCGAATACGTCATCGAGTATGCTTCGCGAACTGTACCAGATGAAAGAAGGAACAATTCGGCCCCACAAGACGAATGCTACGCGGTCGTCTGGGGAATTCAACACTTCCATCTGTATCTGTACGGACAGAAGTTCCTCCTTGTCACGGATCACGAGCCCCTGCTAGCTCTCAAAAGGCTCACCAACTACAGGAGCATGATTGGTCGATGGGCTGTTCGGCTACAAGAGTACGACTTCGACATCATTCATCGAAAGACGGAAAAGCACGGGAACGCGGATGGGTTGACACGACTGCGTCGGCCAAGCAAGGTGGCAAAAGGTGAGGAGATTACCTCGTGGAAGGAGCCAGAGCCAGCCAAGAGCCCCCGTACGGAGAAGTGGTCATTCTCCACCGACCTTTCAAGAAGTGACACGTACACACAATGGCGATGGGTGGAGAAGGTAACTCTAGAGACCCTTTTTCTCCCCTCTCATCCTCTTCTCTCCTTTCCTTGCCTGACAAATTTTGTTATTTTTGCGAAGCAATATCGAGGGTCTATTCGGTTCCCATGCGTCCTAGTGGGGAGGGATATGTCGAGTGGGTAGACTGTGAACGGTGTTCGATTCCTCGAAGCCACATTCGAAGGGTTGGAAAAAACACGTAAGTTTCGACAGGCGAAAGTATGGACGAATGTCGTTTTGATAGCCACGGTGGTCGGGAACTCCCTCCGAGAATTCACCAAGGAAGATCGGAGGCGAGCTAACGAAAGGGCACGGAATTACCGATGGAACGATGGACGATTAGAAAAACGAAAGACTGATGGTAGTGGGATTCGGATGTTGGTGCCTCATTCGTTCATGAGGTACGACTGGGTTAAGGCGGCCCATGAGGAAACCGCCGCTCACTTTGCTGTCAGAATCATGAAAGCCGCAATTGACAAAAACAAGTGGTATTGGTCCAACATCCGGGACGATGTTAAATTCATCGTCAAAAGTTGTCCGGTTTGCGCGACAGATAAAGCGCTGATTCAGCCACCTAGGTCGATTGTGGCTACTGTAGTCGAGCGACCGTTCCAAAGGGTTAGCATGGACACAACAAATATTATCATGCCCCCTGGACCGAATAACTGTGAATATTCAATTTTTTTAGTGTTCGTAGATCATTTATCGAAGTGGATCGAGGCTTACCCGTGTAAGACGCGATAGACGGCGAAGATCGTGCGGTATGTCAACCGTTTCCTCGGACTGCGTCAGGATACCGAGGAAATTTTAACGGACAACGAGACGGAATTACGAGGAGAAGTCTTGAGGAGCCTAGTCATACATGATGTCTCCATCCGTAATACGGCTCCTCATATGTCGCAATCGAACGGACTAGCAGAAAATGCAAACCCGGTGATTAAGACTGCCTTGTGGCGAAAAATCGTGGCACTCGACACGAGGCCTTGGCCCAATATCGTGGACCATATCCTAGCTATCCACCGGGGGACCCCTCGTGAGTCCACTGGCCTAACCCCTTTTCAGTTACAGACCGATAGCTTAGCTTGTGTAGCCCTGTCGAACCTGAACGACGAAATGACCCTTGCGCGATGGACCACGAGAGCGACGGTCAAGACAAGGCCCAATGCCACCTAGAATTGATGGAAAAAACCCTCCCCCGGTTAGCCCGAAAAAGACAGCAGATCACCGAAATGGCCCATGGTCGATAGGTCCGGAGCTATGAGGCCCAAAATGGGAACGCTGGACCTGGGCCCCAATGTAAATTAGGGGACATAGTGCAGGTGAGGAAATATGCTAGATCCGTCAGTTGGACGTGCCGATCCTCGACGCGGGCAAGTGGGCAGGGTGGTGGAACGCATACGTCGCGCTTAGCTTCTCTCTCCTCGAGCCTCGAGGTGGTGTTCCATTGGGCGAGCCGGCCGACAAGGACGAGGAGGACGAGATTCCTGACGACGAGGTGGAGCTGCTGATCGTCCAAGCCTGGAGGACGAACACGTTGGGAGAACTGTTGGGGCTTCCATTCGGGAAGGTCAGGGACGGATCTGGAGCCAATCACGAACGAGGGTCTGGTGTTCCTGGCGCAACTCCTCGACGATTTGGCCCTGGATATCATTTCGCGCTGCGACGAGCGGCCCGCGGTAGCGACGCTTACCCGTACATTGGTACCGCATTTACTGTGGTCCATGTGTACAGAGCTTGACAGTGACAATTGCTACTACCCCTCCTCAAGCCATTACCTAGCCATTGACGTGACCGACCTCACCTTGTGGGATCCGATCATTCGAAGAGTGGAGGTGGAAGGGGTAGCTGACGACGCGGAGGAAGAAAGAGAAGAGAAAAGCGAAGAGGAAGAAGAAGAAGACTCGGAGGTGGAAACAGACGATCCCGATTACCACGAGTCAGAGGAGAGTGAGTTAGGAGGGAGTGGATCGGGCGAATCAAATAGCCCCAGCGAGCCGAGCAAGGAAGAGGACGAGGTGGCAGCCCAGAGTAGGCGAGAGAGGGCGGAAGGAAAGCGGCCAGTGGAAGAATCGGACGGGCTAGCAACGCAGCTGTCATAAGGTGATCCGGCGCGCAATCCAGAGACGCCGCAGGAGGAATCCGGAGGAAATGGCGTCGCCACTGCAGAGGGATCTAGAAGCAGGCGCCGTAGAAAAAAGTCCAGCGCCAACTCAATCCTCTTCACCTCCCCGGCCCGCCATTCGCCTAAGTGGAGATGAGGGCGCTCGGGCTTCGTCCCCGGTCATTATCCCACCGTCCCCTTTATTTTCTTGCCATCCACCAGCTCACAGGCCGACCCCCTTTTCCCTCTAATTGGCATCCCTTCCCCCTTTCCCTTTTCCACCAGCTCTACTCCACCCGCCTCATCATCAATGTCTTCCCGCACGCTACCACTCAGTCTATTGTAACCTCCTTCACTCTCCACGTCTTTCTCTTCAGCGGGCCATGGCAGGAATATAATACCATAAAAGTTTATTGCATAATTTTTGGCACCACCCCCGCCAGCGAAGGTTACGAGGATTTTCGCGCTGCGATTCCTCTCTGTACCCTTTACCCTGATTACCTTGCCTCGCTCCCACACCAAGATCATCACTTCCCCCTCATACATCGCACCGTCCATTACACCCGGCTCCCCACTGGGGATCGAGATCGGAGTCGCTTTCTACCACCTATTCCCCAAGCTCACCCCCCTCTTCCCCCTCCCGTCACCAGACTACCTTTCCCCGTCAACCTCTAGGATCGGAGTTCGCGATGCCACCTTGGATGACTTCCACACTCTCATCTTACGGTGAGTGGCACGTGTCATCTCCACGATGATCGTTGGCAAGTTTTAGGAGCAGTCAACGACGGAGAGCAACCAGGAGCTTGCTCAAGACTGGAACCCCCTGGGCCCCTCGGCATCACATACAACCGGGCGGATTTCTGCGCGAGGCTATATTGGGGGGGTGGTGGTGGGAGGGGCTTGGCTGAGTCGGAATGGCCTGGCGGATTGCAAGGATGCCCTAACCTTTTTTTTTCTCGTCTTTTTTGGCTGAACACTGGTCTGGTCCCACAACGGTTGATAGTTGATCGCGCCAGCGAGCGCGACGAATAAGCGATTGTCATAGCTTCTTTCTTGTTCTGTTGTGGGAACTGGGAATTTTGGCGCGATTGTCGCGCGGGGAAATCTTTTTGAATTTTCAACTGATGTCGAGCCCCCGCGGGCTCTCGGAATTTGCTTCGTTCGGATTTTCTTTTTGTAATTAGGACTTAGATTAGGAATTTGGGCGCATCTCAATTTCTGCTGCGAGACGCGTACTGCTTGCGCACGCTCGGCCGAGTCAAGAACTGTGTTCTGACTTTCCCGCGCCTTAATCTCATATGTAACTGTAATCTTTATTTGGCAGGCGTAATTGCAACTGTAATCCTCTCATTCTTGATATCTTTTGTGGCGCCTTTGCGTGCACATACCTCTCCCCCATCCTATTGGCCTGAACGCTTGCATGACCGGATCGATGTGTGGAGTGTGGCTACGTCCCCCACGCCGCGGCCTGGCCATGCAGGAATAAGCACTTCCTTCCTCCTCCTTCCTTCCACCCGAACACGATCCCGAGTATCTCGCGCAAAGCATGCATGTTATAAATCTCTCAAGCGCGATTAATTCGCTCTCTAAGACTTTTTGGAGTAGCGAGGTCGAGAGGATCGGTTAACGAGCAGGAGGTGACAGGTGAGTAAGAGAGTTGGGCGATCCGACTAGCTGGTGCTGGGCGTGCGGGGTTGACGTGGGGCCGCGACGGACTGTGGCACACGGGCGAACCTGATGGGCATGCTCAGGCTAAGCAGGGTGACAACTCGGCGTAGGTGCGAGGCGAAAGACTGCTCACATCGGGACGTTGTGAAGAGAGAAAGAGAGAGCCTAAGAGTGAGAGAGAGGGGGGGAGTGTGCGATGAGCTTCTTCTTCTATCCCTCTAAGCCATTTTGATTCTTCTTCTTCCCTTCTGAGCAATTTTAGTATCCGGCGCAAGTCCCCTTTGTTTCTTTCGATCGGCGTCTCGGATCTTTTCTTCGCTTGTCTCTAATGATTGAGACTATTTTTCCCATTTTGTTCTCCCCTCTATATGGATGGACCCCATTGATTGGTTAATTGCCTACGATTGAATTTTGTACGATCCTGATGCATGAATGCTTGTCACCTTCCTTCTTTTTTGTTTATGTATGCATAAAATTGGACGCGTGGACGATGGGTATTTGTTTGTCAAAATTATATAAGCATGCTAGATGATCTGATGTCTGTCTCGCCATAGGGCTATCCACCCTCAGTTAATAGGCCATCACATACGAGACCTGAGTCATTAGTCATTGTCTGTTGGACCGAAGGGCAGACCTTGTGCACGCACGTGTAAGCCCAATCAGAAGAATGTGGCATACACGCGTGTCTGCAGTGCCTGTGCTCGGTCCAACTCTTTGAATGACCGAGTCTCCGCATCACCCCACAGCATGAATATTGAACTCCCTTTTCGTATTACTGAACGCGAGTGTTTGAGAGATCCGGAATTTCGGGAGTATTGGAAGCATGTGTGTCTGTCTGCATGACCGAGGAGAGAACTTCCTGAATTTCCATACTCGATGGGAAATGAGCGCATCTGCGAGTGGGATATCGACCGAGCTCGAGAGCGCATTCCCCACCACCCGGACTTCCCCAGCCCGTACACACTTATCGTGGAACCATGAATAATTATTCTGGAAATCGACTTCCCTCCCTACCACTGCGTACTGCCCTTCCATTCGCTGACCATCCTCCCCTGGCGTGCAATCGCTCCGTATTGACCCCAACCCCCATGCTCGGAGTGCTTGCAAGACCACGAGTACCGAGCCTCCGGTTTCATCCGACGAACCCGCTCGGAGGAAGAACGACGGGCGCACAGCCTTCGGCTACGGCCAGCCACGTCGGATTCCGAGACCAGTGATACGCGACGCCAACAAGTGGTCGGACAACGCTATAGCCATAGCGTCCCGACCGTTCACCAAATACGCGTCCGACTCAGACGACGGAACCAACAGAGGTGGTAGCCCCACTGTTAGAAACACAAAAACAGACTTCGATCCGCACCTATCATCTTGCATCCCTATCTCCGAACTTGCCTCAGGAAAGCTCAGTTCCGACCTGGGACTCCACCCCCACTTTCCCAAAAATCCTTGGCACACCCATTTTCGCACTTTCAGACCCACTCACACTCCGATCAGGAAGTCGAGCCGGGCGTGAGGTTAAGGTGTCACACCGACAGCAGGTCAAGTTTGCTTTGGGTGACTTGCAACGTTCGATTCGTGTCTGGGACGGTAGCAAAAGGGGCATGCCACTTTGGGTAAGCGAGGTCACCCACAACAGTATACTGCTCTTGCTGGTTTACGAGGCAAGAGCATTTCGATTAGGGTCTGGGCCAGTAGAAAAAGTGGTCGGCTGTGACGAACCATTTTCTGTAATCACGCGACTTTCTGAGCGTAGCTGCTTTGAGGGAACGGGGCGGGTTAGTCGGGTGAAGTACGTGGGGATGGGTCGGTTGGGCAAGTTGCATGGATGCCCTCACTTCCTTTCTGTTTTCCTTTTTGATTTTGTTGGGCCAGTATCAGGAAAAGGCCCGCATAGGCAGTTAGGAGATCGCGCCTTAAAGAGCGCGATAAATAACTGTTGCCATAGCTTCCTTCTTGTTCTGCTAGGGCTAAGGGGAACGGGAATTTTGGCACGACGAACGCGCGGGAATGTCGTTTTATTTTTCGAAATTTCCTTTCAACTGATGTTGAGCCCCCGTGGGCTCCTCGGAATTGTTTTCAAGTTTTCGTTCTTCGGAATTTTCTTTTTCTGCAATTCGGACTTAGATAGGAGTTTAGGAACTTTGAATTTTTTGTTGCTTTGTGCTTCTTGCTTGCGAGCACCTTCCTGCGGCGAGAGCAGAGTTCTGACTGAGTGGCGTCCTTAATCTTGCGTGTAATTGAACTTTTGGCGGACGCAATTGTAACTGTATCTCTCTTTTTTATTCTCTCGCCTTCTTCCCGCCTCTTTTCTTCCTGCTATGCATGTGCGTCCCTACGATCTGATTGGCCAAGGCATTGCGTGCTCAGATCGATGCATGGAGAGTGGCTACGTCCCCCGCGCCGCGGCCTGACCATGAGGAACGTAAGCACTTCCTTTCTCCTCCCCTCCTCGAAAGCACAATCCCGTATCTTCCACGCATGCATGCACGCTATAAATCTTGCGAGCGCGATTAAAGCTCTCTCTAAAAACTTCGGGACATTCCAAGGGTTAGCACCATCAGTGAGGGTCGACTAACGTGTAAGAGACAAGGTGAGTGATGTGGGAGTTGGGTGACCCGACGAGCTGGTGCTGAGTATGCGGGGTTGACGTGCGGGCCGCGACGGACTGTGGCGCACAAGCGAACCTGGCTTGCGTACTTAGGCTAAGCGGGGTGACGACTCGGTGTTGGTGCGAGGCGACGGACCGCCCGCATTGGAGGTGATGTAGCGTGGAAGAGAGAGAGAGAGAGAGAGAGAGAGAGAGAGAGAGAGAGAGAGAGAGAGAGAGAGAGAGAGAGAGAGAGAGAG